GAATTTCCGCTCCCCCCCCCTTCCCCCCCCGGCCGGGGGCGGGTGGCCCTTCCCCCCCCCCCCCCCCTTTCTGGAACGGAGAACAGAAAAAAACCTTTGCTGGATCCTTATATATATTTTTTTGACTCTAGAATCCTTTCCTAGATGGGATCTCTGTTCCTTTTTGTTCCCCCAAGCTGTTTATTTTTATTGTTTTTGTTTTTAGCATTAGGAAATTGCAGCTTTTGTAGCTGTGTAGGCGCCGTTTTTTTTTTAAATCCGCCTGGCGGATAACATCTTTTCGTTTCTCGGGTTTTTTTAAGCAAGGAGACGGCACAACGGAGGGGGAATTTAGACAATTCAGCTCTTAGAATTTAAAATCTTGGCTTCCTCCACCAGCATTGCGTTCATTTCGGTATGGTTACGAGAGACCTCCTTTCTGTTCCAAATTTGCGAGCGGCGACCAGATTTCATTCTGTGGTTGTTTCCCTCCCCCCCCCTTTTTTTTTAAAAAAAATAATAATAATAATACATGTTCTGGAATCGGTAGAAGCCGATTGTTTTTAATCGTTGTTTCGGAACTAACCGGATTTCGCCAGTACTGTTAGCTATTAAACACACGGGGGTTTAATTTTTTTTTTAATGTTTTTGCACAATGAAATGCGCAGCCTTGGGAATGTGGAACCGCAGACTGACTCCGCTTTCTCTCCCGCCAAAAAAAAAAAAAGAGTATTTAAAATAATTGGAACAAAAGCGTCGGATTATTTTTCCTTTCCTTCCCCCCCCCCTTGGCGGGTTTGCTTCGCCCCCTCCAACCAACGCCCCCCACCCCAAACTTCAGTCTGTTCTCTGATTTTTCTACATGTTGTAAATAAATTGAACCATAATTTCACGATAAATGTACAAATGTTTTCCGTTCTCGACTCTCTCTCTCTTTTTTAAAGGCAATCTGGTGACTCCAGTTTCTAGCAAGCTACAGCACTCAAGGCATTGAATCGTAGTTTGTTTTTTTGGGGGGGAAATGTTTGTTTGGGGAAGGCTGGTTGAAGAACCTGGAAGTTTTCCTAGGTTTGCGTTTCATTTCCACTAACTATGTAGGTTAAACTCAACAACTTTTGAGATGTCTGGACTTCAGCTTCTGGAATTCCCCAGCCAGGATGTGTTGACTTCAACTCCCAGAATTCCCCAGTTGTATTCTAGCTCCCAGAATTCCCCAGCCAGCTTTTGCATCCAACTCCCAGAATTCCCCAGCCAGCATCAACTCCCAGAATTCCTTGACCAGTGTTGACTCCCAGAACTCCCCAGTTTGCACAGATTCTAGCTCTCTAGTATTCCCTAGCCAGCCAGTGGAGACTTCAACTCCCAGAATTCCCTACCCAGCTTCTAGCTTCCAGAATTCCCTCGCCAGCATGTGTTGATTTCAACTCCCAGAATTCCCTAGTCATCTTTTAGCTTCCAGAAGTCCCCAGCCAGCTTTTGCATCCAACTCCCAGAATTCCCCAGCCAGCATCAACTCCCAGAATTCCTTGACCAGTGTTGACTCCGAGAATTCCCCAGTTTGCACAGATTCTAGCTCTCTAGTATTCCCTAGCCAGCCTGTGGAGACTCCAACTCCCAGAATTCCCTAGCCAGCTTCTAGCTTCCAGAATTCCCCAGCCAGCATGTGTTGACTTCAACTCCCAGAATTCCCTAGCTTCCAGAAGTTGCCAGCCAACTTTTGTATCAAATCCCCACAATTTCCCAGCCAGCATCAACTCCCAGAATCCCCCTGTTAGCAGATTCTAGCGCTCTAGTATTCCCTAGCCCAGTGTTTCTCAACCTTAGCAACTTGAAGATGTCTGGACTTCAACTCCCAGAATTCCCCAGCCAGCGAATGCTCTTGAGCTGGCGAAAGAACGGGCGGCGTGACGCGTAGGGGGCGGAGCCGCAGCGGCGGGGGGCGTGGCCAGGCACCGTAGCCGTCGACGCCATTTTGTCCGCCTCAGCGGGCGGGAAGATGAGGCGGCGAAGCGCGCTCCGTCGCCTGAGGGGAAGCCAGGCCCGTTGACGCCCCTCCAGCCTCCCCCGGCAGGCCTCGCGAGGCGGGATGGAGTCCACCGGGCCTCGGCCCCCGGTTGGAGTCGTCTCGGGCCCGCCCGCGGGGCAACCCCGGGAGTACAAACTGGTCATGTTGGGCGCCGGCGGGGTCGGGAAAAGCGGTACGTCAGGCGGGGGGCGGAAGGGGCCGGATTTGGGCCTTGAGGGCTTCGTGCCGGCGGGACTCCCCGCCACTAGAAACCCCCCCTCCCACTTTTATGGCCTTGAGAAAGAGTTCAAGCGGCTCCAGGCTGGGTTTGAAGGGCTTAGTGCCTACGGAACTCCCTGCCACTAGAAGCCCCCAAAGCTTTTGAGGGGGGAGTTTTGCATCTCCTGAAGGACCTGGGGGAACATTAGGCCCCCTCCCCACTTTGAAGGCCTTGAGAAAGAGGACAAGAGGCGGGGAAAGCTCCAGGGTGGGTTTGAAGGGCTTAGTGCCTGTGGAACTCCCTGCCACTAGAAGGTCCAAAACCTCTCTGGGATGGAGCTTGCATCCTATAAGGGCTTGGGGGGAGCTTAAGCCCCCTTCCTCATATATATATATATATATATATATATATATATATATAGATTTTTACAACCCCTGGTAAGCCCCAATTATGGGAGGAAGCTAACTGCTTCCATTATCTGTCAATCGGCTCGTCACAAGAGTCCATCACGACAGAAACCCAATATTTTTACTGTTGCCTTTGTTATTTATCAGCACAAATAAAACGCACACACACACACACACACACACACACACACACA